TCTCTCTCTCTCTCTCTTTCTTTCTTTCTTTCTTTCTTTTTCTTTCTTTCTTTCTATTCTACCTCTCTTTATTCTATCTATCTTGACAGTTTTAAGACTTGTGGACTCCCAGAATTCCTCCTCCAGTCATGTTAGCTCAGGAATTCTGGGAGTTGAAGTCCACAAGTCTTAAAGTTGTCAAGTTTGAAGACCTTGGTATATAGTATATAGCATGAAGGAATTCTCTCCCAGTGGAGAGAACTGGAACCTTTAAGAGGAGACTAGACAGTCACTTGTTTGGAATGGTATAGCATGAGCAAGGGGTTGGACTAGAAGACCTCCGAAGTCCCTTCCAACTCTGTTACTCCATTGATAATCAGTTATGAGCAGTACTGTAGAGGTAATGCACAGATCTTGCTTTCTAGCTTATTGTGAAAAGGACGACAAAGCTGTCTTAATGCTCATGGACGGCACGTAGAATTGCTGATCGCATCAGCAATGAGGTGTCTACATTCAGGAATTCAGCTCACTTACGGGATGTTTGATAGTGTCACTGTATGATGGCTGCAAGGGGATTTATCTACCCGAAATAACGGCCTTTTGAGTCATCATTTAAATGACACCCCACCCCTCCCCCCCCAAAAAAAAGATATAGCTGGAGATCAAATTATGCCCATTACCCGATTTGGGAGCTCAATGGGCAACGTTGCTTTTAACTAGCTCTGAATCATGTCCTGTCAGGGCATAACTGCAGAGTTTGAGAACTCGGAAGCCATGGTACATGCAATGTGCCGCTTCCTTTTTGGGAGCGCAGCCGTTTGGTACAAATGCCTTTGATGAATTCTGTTGCAATAGCCAACCTAATGCTTCCAGCAGCGGAATAAAAAGGAAAACCATCACCAGGGATGGAAAAGAGCAGGAGGATTGTGTTGAGTTTCAATTGGGTTGGGAGGATGCCAGGAACACAGATAACCAAAGTCAACACAACGCAGCTGCCGCACTCAGCATGCATCTCTTTTAAACTCTCATTCCCAGGTGTGGCTATTGAAGGGAATCAGGGCCCTTTCCTCCCCCGTAAGCATGCAACCCACGTTGCTCCTTTCTCCATTCCTCCCTGCATGCCCTAGGATGAAGAGGGGGTGGGCCTGGGTCTTCTTCTAAACTCCCTCTCCCTTGTTCTACCTCTCCCTTGTTCTACCTCTCCCCTGCTCTGCCCAGCTGGACTTTGCCCTTCCCCAGTTTCTTCCACAGCCCACAGAGCCACACTCCCACTCCCTGTGAGCTGTTCGTCTTCCTCCTTGGATTCAGACTCCGGGAGCATGATAGGTAGTCCTTGACTTACAACAATTTGTTCAGTGACCGTTCAAAGTTCCAGCGGAAGTGAAACAAGGGACCGGTGACCGTTTTTCACATTTACAGCTGTTGCTGCATCCCAATGGTCACCTGATTTCCATTCAGATGCTTTGATGCCTGGTTCACATTTATGATGGTTGCAGTGTCCCAGGATCACATGATCCCCTTTTGCGACCATCGGACCAGCAAAGGAAAAGCAAAAATTATGTAACGACGGTTGTTACTCATCTAACAACTGCAAGTGATTCATTTTACACATGCGGCAAGAAAAATCGTGAAATGGGGCAAAACTCACTTAACAAATTTCTCACTTTAGCAACATAAATTTGGGCTCATTGTAAGTCAAGGACTATCCAGCAGTGATTAAGTGGAAGATTTATGGTAACATCATGCAAAGAGCTGCAGATGTTTTGGATGGTTTCCATAATCCACTGACACTGAACTGGCAGAGGGTGATAGGAGTTTTAGCCAAAAACACATGAGGGAATCCAGATTGATTATGTCTGTGCTAATGTTACCAGCATGTTGCACCTCTTAATTTGCATTGACTTTGAAGTGAGTAATTGGTAGTTTTTATCATAATGCCTTCAAGCGCTCAGGGTGGGGTGCATAAGTTTACCGGCCTCCCTGTCCATTTTATCCTCACAACAATCCAGCAAGGTAGGCTTGAACGGGGAACAAATGGCCCAAAGTCTGGGAGGAATCTGAACTTAGCATTCCTCTTAGCCAGGTCCTCCTGGGAACAATTGCATATCTGCCACTAGCTTTTTTCTTTTGCTTTTTTAATTGAGAAAACGCAATTTTTGTAGATTCTGGGCTTTGTGTTTTTTACAACACACAGGTCTTGAGGCCTCTGCTGTCAAAAAAAAAGAAGAGTTGCTTGAAAAAGATCAGATAGGAACAACTGGAGGGGAAGACAACATAAACTTCCAGATTAATAGTAGGAAAAGAGAGAAACTTTTGGTATCTGCCAGATTCTTGGTCATTAGATCAAGCAAAGAATGAAACAACCAATTGGTCACACTGGCACACAAGCCATTTATAAGCTAAGGAAAATAGGTCAAGAAAACCCTGCAGATGTTACCACCTAGTCTGGTGACGAAACATTCAGAAACGAAATTGAAACAAGCTTGAGCCTTCAAAATTTATTTATTTATTGAACTTATATTACCGCCTATTTTTATTTTTTTGTTTTAAATGTGGTTTTACATTGTGTAAGCTGCCTCGAGTCGTCATGGGTGAATAGGCAGCAATATTAAATAAATAAATAAATATTCACCTATGGCAACTCGAGGCGGCTTACAGAAGGTAAAACCATATTTAAAATAAAAAATAAAAACTAACAAAAAGAACCAAATAAATTAATAAAATACAATAGAACAGAATGGGGGGGGGAATGACAGCACTGAAAAAAAAGTATCTTCTGACTTGTTTTCATACTTAAAGACTATTACAGCCTACCTGATGTCACATGATCAAAATTGGGATGCTTGGAAACTGGCATGTACTTATTCCAGTTGCAATGTCCTGGGGATCACTTCCCCCTATGCAACCTTTCCAATATTCAAAGTCAATGGGTGGAGAAGCCAGAATCATTGAACCATTGCTTGATTCGCTTAGTGACTGCAATGCTTCACTTAACAACTACGGCAAAAGGTCCTAATTAAGGTTGGGGGAATTCTGGGAATTGAAGTCCCACCAAGCTCCAAGGTTGGTTTTGATTGATTGCAAGCAAGTTGATTGCAGTTGCAGCCTATTCCAAAGCCAAAAAAAAGCCCCCCCCTCCCCCACCTGGGGCGCTACGTGCTGCTCAGCACCTCCTGCGCGCTCCAAGGCAGAACAGGCATGGGCGGGGCCTTGAAGGGCGATGACGTCACGGCGATGAGGAAGGCGTGGCGATTCGAGTCAAGGGAGGAAAAGAGGGACAGCGCATGCGCGGCACCTTGTTTACCCCGTTTTTCTCGGCCAGCCCGGACGGAGCATCAAGTGGGCGCGCACGCTCTCTCACTCTCTTTTGCTCTCCCTCCCCCTCTCCTGCATTCCTGAGTCCTCCCAGCAGGTGCCGCTCTAGGCCCGCCCGAACGTGGCGGGCTCTGTGGCCGCCAGGTGGCGCCTGCGCCCTCCATTCCCTCGCCAGCCGCCGAGCTGCGAACACCCCAAACAATCCCCAGCGCCGCCGCCGCCGCCGCCGAATTGAATCCTCCGCCCGCCTCGCTGGCCTCCGTCGCCGCGCTCAAACCGGGAGAGACGACGACGACCCCCCCACCCCATCCCACGTCCTTCCCCTCAGAAGGCCTCGCTTCGGCCCTCCTCTTCCTCCTCCTCCTACGGCGGCCTGTTGGATTATTTCCCGCCGAGCGGCCCTCACTCCCTCACAGGCCTTGGGGGAAGCGTCTGAGGTAAAAAAAAAAAAAAGACGACGACGAAGGAGGGAACCGGAGCGAGCGAGGGAGATCGCACGACGCCTCGTCTGGTTGGGGAAGAAAAGCAAGGCCGGGAAGTCGACGACGACTGAGGCGCGGAAGGGCGGGGGGGGGG